TTATTTTAGAAGCAGGGCAGGCTTAAACAGGCTCATGAGCCTGAACTGCTCCAGACTGCAGGCTAAAGGCTTTGAAATCAGCAATTAATTCTGACAACGTTTCAGTCAATTCAGTTCAGAGAATCAGTGCTGAGTTGGAAGGGACCCACCAGGGCCATCGATCCAGCTGCTGGCCCTGCATAGGACATCCCAAGAACCCCACCCTGTGTCTGAAAGCATTGTCTAAACACTTGTTGAATTCAGACAGGTTGTGTAGTAAGGGCTCTCCAACACAAAAAATGTTTGCATGTAATAGGATAAAAGAGAAAAGGGGGGGCTACTCCTGTAATGTAATCACCACACAACACCTGTGAGGAAACAGGTAACTGCTGACCTGAATCAGCCAGCAGTCATCCTAAACCTGGTGATTTTTAGAAAGAGGGAAAAAAAACCAAAAGCAAAAGCAGCATTAAAAACCCTTTTTTCCTCTCAGGGCCTCACTTTCCCCTCCCAACCTTTGTCTCTTGTTTCTTTATTTTCCAGAGGCTGCAGGGCAGGGTTTCCCTCCCCCGTGTTTGCCCAAGGCTTAGCATAATGCCTGACCTGTCAGGCTCCCAGTGTGGCTAGGGGACCCCGAGCAGTGGCCCCTGCGTGCACTTCTTGTCACCAGCCCTGCATCTCGGTCCCCTCTGCTCCGTCACAGCTGCCTGTGTGTCCTGTGCCAGGCTCCTTGAGCCCTGCTCCACATCCCCTTGGTGTCTCAAACCCTGGGGCACTTTCTCCAGCCTCCAGCACAGCCCGGCCTCATTTCTGAGAAAGAAACACAAGGCGGGTTTGCAGTGGCAGCAGAGGTTCCTTCAACAGGGTTTTAACACACACGATTTAGCACTGGTTTAATCACACAGGAGTTTCCAAATGAGGTGAGGAAAGCTGGAGTCAGAGTCAAATGTTTTCCCTTCCACCTCCTTCCATCCATCAGGATAAACCAGGAAGACCCAGGCAGCACTGCACTACTGCAGCTTTAACATGGGAAAGCAGGAGATATTCCTGAGGGCAGCCCAGAAAAACCAGGCATCAAAGAAGCCAGGGTTCAGCCCATGCACAAATCCAGAGACAAACTGTGCCATGTCCTGGAATAATAGGAATAATGTTCCCTTTGGCAGTGAGTAAAACACAGAGACGCTCTGGGGGGAAGAAGAAAAGCCACACAAAGGTGACCCCACTGATGCCAGATTCTTCTCCTGGCTCAGGAGTGGCCTGAGGGACAGTTTGCATGCTCAGCACAAACCCTTCCAAGAAGGGCATGCTTCAGCCTTAAAACCAGTCCAACACCAGTAAGCAGGCTCACCTCAGCTGGACCCAAAACCAACAAGCTTTTCCCAGTGTTAGCAGAGATGGGTCAAGCAAACATGCAGAGTTGGAGGGCCCTACAATACTAAAACAAGGCATGAACAATTTGGCAGGATTTTAAACATCTCTTTATAACCTCAGCAGGAAAAAACCCTATGTTGTTAAGCTTCACTCTAAGTAAGGAGAGCAGGCTTTATTTTGAGCAATAAAAGTGAGATTTGAACTGGCAATCAGGCTATGGGCAAAACAAATTCTTAAGCCCATAGTCTCTGTTTCTACTTTGTGGGAGTGAAGAGAAAGGATGTCAGCGAGGAGTTAAAGCTCTGACCTTCCCTCCAAGCTGTGAGCTGCCAGAAATCACTCTGGGGACTCTGGAGTTCAGTCACTTGATGTGCTTCTTCCTCATCCCATTACAGCATTGCTTATTTTCCCCATAACACCCCTATTTGGGAGTTGCTATGACAATTTGTAGCATTACTTACAGTGCTATATGCACAGAGAAATCAAGAGACAGCTTTCTTTCCCAGGATTTGATTTTATTAAGCCTTGAATAAGAAAGTTAGGCTCATTACCTGCACTAATAGGTGAGTTAGATGCTCTAATCCAGCCTAAATCTGGTGGAGTATCTTTGGGCACAGATACAGCCCAGAGCAGAACAGAGCCTACAAGGTGGACTAGTAACAGTAAATACAAACCCAGTGCATTCAAGGCTACACTGTCCTCCCCCTGCAGCGTGTGGAAGCAATTTTGAGGGAGTTCACAACTTAATGCAAAAGGACACTGAGCAAATAGGCAAAAATTCCAATAGGGACTTAGAGATCACACGGTGTCTGATTCACAGGCAGTGCTCTCCTTTGCTTTTAAAGCCTAACCTTGAAGTTACTCCTCCTGACTACCCCTGAGCACGTTTGTCTCTAAAGCTGAAGGGCTCTTCTACTTCACAGCAGCTCTGCCAAGTCCCCAAAAAGGAGCTCTAAACACCAGGCACAGCTCATCCTTCAAACTAGTCCAGAAGGTCTCTCATTTGGGCACCAGTAAAACCTGGAGTAACCATTTTAATCCCATTTTGGGGATGTGTACCCTCTAGTTTTTAATCAGGGTGAAGCAGTGCAACACTCAAATCAGATTTCTGCTTGCCCTGTCCTGTTACCCAGTGTCTGATGTCCCCATCCCATACCTAAGAAACTTGGGGGGTCAGGTCCCCAAGGTGTCAGTGATCCTGAACACAGCAGGTACTAGGGCTGTCAGCTACAAATTTATCACATTCACCTTCTCCTTCAGCACTTCCGTTTTCCAGTGTCCTTTCTCTTGCCCTCATGTACCCGGAACGCTGCTGTTGCAAAAGCCACAATCATCCCATAATATCCATAGTCTTAACATCTGACCTGCAGCAACTGTGCCTGCAATCATCCCAGTGCTTATCTGATAAACTAATGCTTTATGGAAGCAATTATGTCCTATCTGCAGTGCCTCATGGTAACGTCCTCCGAAGGGCTGCAGCGCTCCAGCCCCCTCCTCTCCTCCCTCCACGAGCCGTTCCCAATATAAAAAGAAACTGGATATTAGCTGGCTCAGCAGGAGGAACCACTTGACATTCCTCAGTCAGAGGAGGCAGAGAGGGAGATTATTGTACATCGGTCTCTTCTCAGCGCGGCGTCTCCGTGCAGTAACCTGCACTGGAAAGGCCCCAGCCCCAGCAACCCCACGGCTCATAAATCAGCAGGATGGCTGTGGGGACACCCCACAGGGCTGGGCTTCCTCAAAGGTTGACAACCTCTCCACTTTCCGTGAGAAATCACACGAAGTACGCACGGCACCGCGCCGTTTCCTCCTGCGCTGGAAAACCCGTGTGCCTCACATCCTTCCGTGTCCTGGCTCCAGCTCGTGCTGGCCTTGCTTGTCCCCATCTTCTCCCCTCTGCCGGGTTTATTCTGTTTATTCTCCTGCACCTGGGTTAATTGCTGCAATTGACTGATACGGGTGGTGCAATGGGATGTAAATGAAGTAGGAAAAAAAGAGAAGGGGAAAGACCTGGGTGGGCTGCAGAAGCATGAGGAAAAGCAAGGCCAGCTGCATCCTGCAGAAAGCCAGGTCAGCTGAAGAGTATAATACGCCCTTTAAAACGTTAATGGTGCAAATTCAATAGCAGGGTTTGGGTTTGTTGCTGTTTGTGCTGACTGCTGGGGGGAATCTCTCAGCCCTATCACCAGCCAGGGCGTGCAGGGCACCCCACGTTCGGGGCACTCAAGGGCTGGAGTTTGTCCTGTCCCATCCCACACGTCCCTCTCGCAGCACAAGCCTTGGGTCACTCTGACCTCCAGGACTGGGAATGATAAGATCAGCTCACAGAGCTCCAACATTTATTGTCATGCACAAACAATGCTAACATCTGTCCAGCTTTCTGGTCAGGATAAATAAACCAACACTCCCTCAATACAAGGTCTGCTCTCAAAGCTCATCTAACAAAGGCAGGGCCTTTTGCTGTTCTCATCCCTCTTTGAGGAGCTCTAGGAACAGCAACTTGGTTCAGCAAGGATGGGTCTAGATTGCACCATTGAGGCTTTCATTCCTAGGATTAAGGAGCAAGTCAGCTGTCCCTGTTTCCATAGCCACTGTTTTCCCCTCAGCAGGACAATGTGAATGAACTGGTTTTCTCCCAACACAACCAAGTCTCAGTGCAGAAGGAATTTCCTTGTTCTGTTCCTAGAGAGGCATTTTCAAAGATGTAGAATTTTTTAACACTTATAACTGCCAAGAGTCTCCATCTGGCAAAGAAGAACAGGACCTAAAAATGTCTTCACTGCCACAGGTGTTATTAATGCCTTTCCATGACAAACCTGCTGTTTGAGCCTTTCTCTGAATAAAAACCTCATGGCTCGTTTCTTCCTCCTTTAGGCTCATCCCCCAGGACATTCTGATCTGCTTTTCCCATGAAAAGCCACTGACAGCCAGTCCATGCTCATATCAAAACTCCACTTATTCCTACCAAAACTACCAAGTGAGCAGCATTATTGCTCATGGAAATAGAGATGGCCTGAGGTGACAGCACCCATGCCACATAATCCCACAGCCACCAGACCAGATGTTTAGCAATTCCTTGGAGTGCAACAATTACTACCACGGAAATAAATCAAATTATTTTCCTCGCCTCACATTTGAATTAGGCCTACAGTTTCACTCCAGCATTGGCACCAACCCCACCCTTACCCTGCAGTTAACTCCAAGCAACCACTTCAGAAAGGCAGAACAGCTTTAGAAACATTAATTGGTCCTCATCCCAAAAATGCAGAGCCTCAAATAGTTCTTCCCCTATTAAAAGGCATTGGAGGGAGATACCTTTTCAATTAAACCATCTTCTCAATTAGCACAGCTGAATAAAACTCCTGCCACTGTTGGGGTTTGTAACTTCAAGCGCTTGAGGGATGCTTCAAGCCTTTTAGAATAAAGCTGAAAAGCTTTAAACTTTTAAGCTTGTTTTAATAAAACTACCCAGAAACTCCTGCTAATGGTTTCCAAAATAGTTTGTAGTTAAAAACCTCCTTAGAAATGTAATGGCTGACACTTCCAGGCTTGCTTTGTGAGTAATCCACACCCACAGAGCCCTGGCGTTGCTGTGTGCTCACTCCTGCCTTCATGTCAGGTTGACACGAAATTCTCCTCTTTCCAACCAGCACTTACATCAAGATGTGGGCAGACACCCAGAGAGAGCTGGACACCATGCTCCAGAGAGAGAGAGAGGAGTTACTCCAGCCACAGGAGGACCGTGGGAAAGTGATGAAGATGTTGGCCACTGCCTACGTCCAATACCTGGAAATCTTCCGGAAGCTGGAGGAGGCCCACGACCACCTCATCCACCAGCAGAAGCGGGCGGCGGTTCGGCAGGTGCTGGACGGGGTCATGGGCCGCATCCTGGAGATCAAGAAAGAGATGGTGGCCCTGGAGAACTCCGAGTGTCACTCCATGGATGGCATCCTGATGGAGCTACAGCGTGTCCCGGTAGAGCTACCTCCATTATGAGCTGATTCGTGGGAAAGATGGGTTTTGTCTGTAGCTGTTTTATTTGTAACCCAGTCTGTAGGTGTTTTATTTGCTGCCTCTCTGGGGTCACCAGGAAATTTCCAAATGTTTCACACCCAATGGATGTGATCTTGCATGCAGAGGGCAGGGAAAGGGTAACACACAGTCTGAGGGTGATCACAAATTATTTCAGGGTTCTGGGACATTTAGTAAGGGATCTGGGGCACGAATTATTTTCTCCTGATACTTCCAGTTGAAACCAGCGATATTGAAAGGAACAGATGGCTCCCCAGCTGGTGTCACCACCATAATTTTGAGGGGTTTGACAGTGGAATGGCTTGTGCAGTGCCAGGAGTGCTGGCATCAGATGGCACTCACCTTTCTGAGCAAGGGAGGGGTGTCTTTGCCTGGGAGCAGGGAGGTGGGACCAGATGACCATTTGTGGTTTCTTTCAACTTGACCTATTCCATGATTCCATATTAACAACATGAATTTGTACTCACAGAATCCCAGAATGGCTTGGGGTAGAAAGGACCTCAAAGCCCATCCAGTCACACCCCCTGCCATGGGCAGGGACACCTTCCACTAGCCCAGGTTGCTCCAAGCCCCATCCATCCTGGCCTTTGACACTTCCAGGGATCCAGGGGCAGCCACAGCTTCTTGGGCTGTGCCAGGGCCTGCCACCTTCACAGGGAGGAATTCCTTCCCAATATCCCATCTAGACCTACTTTCTGTCAGTAATAACTTCACAGCTTTGCTGTTAAGTGTCAGGAGCTTGACTTGGCCAGATTTTAATGTGGGGTGAGATAGAAAATGGGCCACTGATAAGTAAAGTGGAGTCCACTGCAGCCTGCCCTTCATGGCACGGTGAAATCAGCACCGTGAATATGACAATGAGGCCAAGTGTGGAAGCTGTGCTTTAAAAGGCGCAGGAAAAAATGAGCTGGCAAAGAGGGTTACTTCTCTCGCAGACAGCTCCATCTATTGTCACATTCCGGTACCGCTGCTTTGCTAAAACCACATGAAATTCCTGCTTTTTGTAGCATGGCAGCTCCGAGATAAATCGCCCGGTATCATTCTAGCATCACTCCGAGATCTGCATCGTGTTTCTGTTTGCACATCTGCAAATTTAGGAGAGGATTTGCCAGGAATTTCCACCAGCCCTTTATTGTCAACATTAATCACTATTTTAAGCCATTTTAAACTGAGAGTGTAAGTACATCTCCAGGGAAAACAATCCTTCAAATCATATTTTGAAATCCTTAGCACTGCTGTTTTCATGACTCAGCAGTAAATCCATCTGCAGCAAAAAGTTGGCAAGTCTGAGGAGTCATGCCTGACATCTCTTCAAAAACAAGCATAAATTCAAATTCCTGCACCACACCTTAATTTTAAGAAGGCATAACATACCTACCTACCACAAAAGAAATCAATCACTGAGGAGATTTTAGGTTTTTTCAAAGAAAACATTTTCCATACTAGATAAGAATAAAGATTTATGGAGTGTTCTTTTTAACAAAATATTAAAATATTCTTAGTAACAGAACAAAATTACTGGACAAATAACTCCTGTTTCTCAAAGGATCTGCCCAGAAAGGATATCTCCAGTCATTCCTTTCCCTTTATTATCAGTGCTAAAATCCTGCAGGATTGAAGGCAGAGGACACAACACTTTATATCTAATGTGATGATATTGCCTATTTTGTACTGTGTCACTGCAAGGCCAAACTTTACTATTTCTCCAGTTCTGTACTTTGTGTTTTTGTGCAGTTGCCTTCCAGCATCCAGTCGCTCCATTTCCTGGGGTAATTGTGAAGGTATTTGGATCCATAAATCCCATGTGGAGCTGGGAGTGGTTAAAAAGCCACAAATTTGACTCAAGGTTAAACATCCCAATCCTGACTTTTCAGTGCAGGGCCCCAAAAAAGAGATTATGAAGAGAAGCAGGCTCCCCACCCCTTCCAGCACTGGCACTGGGGTTTTGATCTCCTTTTTCCAGTCAGTAAAAGTCATAATCCAGAATCACTTGGAATTAAAGGCCAGGTGAGACATTGGAGATTCTCCTACACTGACTCTGCTCCCTGGCAGTCTGAAAATCCTCTCATCCTACAGGAGGGTGTCCATACAAACCCTTGATTTCTTATACCTCCAGATTTTAATCCACCTAGAGTGATTTGCACTCAGAATACAGCATATGATCTTTTCCATCAACCACCAAGGGTTGTTGGAAGGTGCAAACAGGGAGCTTAGCAAGACAAATATTTAGAAACTTTATCAGACCAGACCTCTGCACTGATAAAATCATCAGGGATAAGCACAGCCCAACTCAGAAGCTTTCTTGTGGTGTCATGGTAGGGATGTCTCTGCAGCTGAGGGAATGGGGAATGAAATTGGGAGAAATGTAAATCAGTTACATCTTTTTAATTACAGAAATTAGTAAAGACAGGCACTTCTGGTCATGTCTAATTTTAAGAAGTGTCTGATACACTACAGTCACAGGCAGACAGTTTGTCTACAGCTCAAAATACCTATAAAAACTTTAGAATTATGCTTTGGTTCCTCATAATGGTAAAAAAAAATGGCAAGAGAACAGATCTATTTTTCATGTTGATTAAAACAAGAAGTGGGATGATCACACAACCAAAGGTATTCAGCTTGGTGGAAATAATGTTTAAATTTCTAGCAACCCAGCCAAATATTTTAGCAATTTGATAATATAATTGAGCCATTATAAGAAGAAAGATTTCTGGGCTCACATGGTTCACAAACTGGATTGATTTATTTGTTTTTATTGAATTAGGCCTAAAGTAATTGAAAAATAACAGCAGCTGTTACAAAGGTCAAATTCCCCAATACTCAAAAAAAATTCAACAACCTCTGTCCTTATTTTATTGCATTGTAGAGGTGTTCAATTAATCAGTAATGTGATTTAAATACAGTCCTAAAAAGCATCTTGTGACTTTCTTCCTCCAGGAAGACATAGAAATTCCCATCCCAAAGTATTTCATTAAAGAAAACCTGGGAATCCTGCAGGACAGGGAGAAATACCTGTATGAGACTTTGCTGAATGCTGGTTTGCTGGAACAGGTAAATGGAACCCATACCTATATATCGTGTTTGATTTGTTTAGTTCACAGCCACATGTGTCTGAATGTGGGAATGCTTCTACAGCAGTGAGGAAGTAAAATTGTGTTTACAGATAAGGCACAAGCAGAAAGAAACCTTAGATTTCCCTGTCAAACAATATCCAGTCACATCTGAAGGCTTGGTAAGACTGAAATGATTCTACTCTGCTTTCTGTGTGTGAGTGTCAGAGAGAGCAGCACTATGGCCAAGTCAGTGCTTTATTTGTCTAACCCTCATCATGTAATTAGTCCTCCTAATGCCTTGAGAAGGCTGACCTAGAACAGAGACTAGATGGAGTTAAATATTAATAGAATGAATAAAGTAGGGACTTATTAGAAGGCCTCAGTGGATCCACCTTGGGCAGCACAAGAGCCCAGCCAGGGCCACTCCCAAAATGAACCAAAATGGTCACAAAATGGACAACTGGTCATGGGGTCTCTCACTTTTATAAGTTCTGCTCCATTTGCACATTGGAGTTCATTGTCCAATTCCAGCTTTAGGTTATGAAGTCCCATCCTTCTTGTTTTTCTCTCTTCAGTCCACGTTGTTTGTGCTCTTGGCCTGAGATTTGGATCATTTGTCCTTGGTCCCTAGCCAGAGAAGAAATTGTTTTGTCTCCCTACTCTGTGCTGAGAGCTCACCATCTCCAAATAGGAAACTCAGAAGTGCACACTAAAGCAGCACAGAATCTGAAAAATAGAAAAGCTAAAACCTGAGACATCACTACTGAAACCAAGTTGTCCTGGCCCAGGATTCCTCACTGGAGCAGGCAGAACTTGGGTCAGCACAACTGTTGGCATTCACTTGTTTATGACCTTGGAACAGTGAGTGCAGCTTCCCCTGTGCAGCTACAGAGCTGCAGCTGCTGGGAGGAGCAGACAACTGAGTTTTGGTAGAGCAAAAGTGATTACAGACAAGTACACAAGTGCTGCAGTGAAGACTGCTCTGGATTTGATACACTTTTGACCTTTCGGGAAAGGCATGTTGACCCCTGAAGTAAACAACTGTGCCTACATGCCTGGATAACTTGGATTTATGGATGTTGTAGCCATAAGAGACTGAGTGATGGCCCACTCAGTCACACTGCTGCCCTGAATTCTCCAGCAGTGATTGTGCCTGTTGATCCCACAAAATACCAGAGGGAAAGTCCCCAGGTATGGGAACAGCCCCAGGCAGACTGCAGAGACAGAGCACAGGCTTCCCCACTGGAGGCTTTCCTGGGCAGCTGCAGAGCTCCCCTGTTTGAGTTCTCTGCTCTTCTGCTCATCTGACCTTGCTCTGGGGAGATCCTGTTTCAGCACAGTTTATCCTGAAGCCTTTTTGCTTCCCAGAGTTCTGCTCTTGCCCCTTTCCAGCGTGGCATCCATCAGGGATGAGGTTGTCTAGTGAGCAGCCAGCTCAGCCAGAGCACCAGGCTCTGGCAGGGTCCAGCTGTCCCTTGCCAGGCTGCTACAGGGAGCCAGGGGATTCAATAAACAGCAATAAAATCACCTCACCCAGTGTAAATCCAGTGTCCTGTGCTGCACTTCTAGCTCACTCACCACTGGGATTGCTGCAGGGCTGTCAGCACTTCTGCACCTCATCCTCTCAGGAAATCCTGGCTGCTGTGTAACCAGCTAGAGCTCTCCAGTGTCTGTGGCACTGCTGTTAGGAGCACTCCAAGATAAATCAAAACCAGTGGAGCTCATCTCAGGAATCTGCTCTGCACATGGTTTATGTGATTCTGTTCAGGAAATCTATTCTGTATAAATGTGTCCTAGAAAGCCCTGCTGAAAGTAAGTGCCAGGCAATATAACTATAATAATTAAATATGAGCTGCCTCCAGTTGGGAGATAAACATCAAGAAAGAACACCAATTCAGCTTTTCCATGGGTTCTCAGGAGTGGGAAGGGGGAGTCCCTTCTGTTCTGATCCATTTTTCCCCTCTGACTCAGAACAGCCCTCCTTCCATTTTCATTGAAAGAACTGTGATCCCAGCAGCACCTCCAGAACCCTTCCCTTCAGAAAGGAAAGGAAAATATTCCACAGCCTAAGAAATTCTCCTTTTAGAAGGACAAAGCCCCATGGCTGTTTCTTTCTGCTCAATTGGATCAAGTTCAGCAGGACTGCATGAGCCACTGTGACTTCCCAGCAAAACAGGTTTTCCACATCACATATCAACAGGAGTCTCTGCTCTTTGTTTCCTAAGATACCATTTTCTAACTGAGGCAGGCAATTTAAAAAACATAACTTTCCTTTGTTGATTCCGTTTTTTGGCTGTGCTGTTGAAGGAACCTGTCACGGCCATGACACTTGAGGAAGCCATTAAAGTGATCCAGGTGGCAGAACGGGCTCGCCAGGGCCGCGCTCGAGCAGCGTTCATGAAGAGAATTTACCTTGAAGAGAAAAGACAAAGTAAAAAAGAGGAGAAAGAGACAGGTAAAAGTCCAGATGATGCTGCCACTTGCATTCAAAAGGTGAGTTTCTTGTGTAGCAACAATTCTTGCAAAGCCAAATGACAGTGTCTTGGTCAGGAGAGCAGCTGTAGACAGAAACACAGCTCACGCGATGGGGAACTTTCTGAAATTATCCTTTTTAGGGTATCCAGCAAGGTGAAATGCATAATTTAAACCACTTTAAAAAATGAGACAGGACCCTAGACGTAAGATCAATGGAACCAGTCCTGCACTGGCAATGCAGGATGACTTTAACTTACACGTTGTTTTTCCATTCTGATTTTTATGACCTCAGTTGCTCTTTCTGGCCTCCCCTTGGAATTCAGTGCATCTCTGAATTCATGCCTTTTTCTGTGATCTCCAGGGGAAGAGTTCATTCCATATCTAGAAAAAAGGACAGAGGAAGGTCAGTGCTAAATTCCACAAAGAGTTCTTGCATGTGAATAATTCAGACAATTCAGTCTGATGAAGCAGTAGCTCAGCCTAAATCTTATGTCTGAACTTCATGAAGCAGTGACAGTTTTTAGAAGCCTCCCAGAGCAGCATGAGGGGATAAACTTCAGAATTTGTTAAAAAAAAATAAAAAAAAAAAGAATACCAGATGGCAACCTGTTAAAAAGCAATAGTTTCAACTCTATATTGTGCCTTTCCTTCCTCTATTTGTTTTTTCCTGTGTCTGCCTCAGAAAAGGAAGCTGTACCAAGGCCCATTTATCTCATCAGGGTTTTGTTTACAATCCAGGTCTGGCGTGGGCACAGCCAGCGCAAGAAAACAGAGAAGCTGAGAGAGGAGGAAATGATATTTCTGGGCATGGTAAGTGGGGCTGTGCCTCCAGAACAGAAAATGCCACACTCTGTTTGTTCTTCAGGCTTTTATAATTCAGCCCAAGAGGAGAAATTAATTTCTATGATTCCTCCTATTTTAAAAGGAGTCTCCAAGGAATACAGAACTCAACTGAAATGATAAATGGCACAGGAGTAGCACAATTTGTCTTCTGCTGAACGGGTTTGTGCTGTCCATACATTCTCCAATGTGTGTGGCAGATGTGGAAACTGCCTGTGGAATATTTGCCCTGGGTTCCAGGGAATTTGACCCAGGCATGATCAGCAAGGAAATTTTATTAATCAACTTTTCAGTCATGATTTCAAGACTGGTGAGTGCCTTATGTCTGGAGTAGAATTCATGAAGGCTGGAAAAGCCCTCTAAAATCATCAAGTCCAAGCATTAACCCAGCTCTTCCAAGCCTACCCCTAACCTAGGTCCCCAAGTGCCATATCCACAAATTTTTTGAGCACTTGCAGGGACGGTGACTCTACCACTTAAGTGGGCAGCCTGTTCCAATGCTTGACAGCCCTTACAGTGAGCTAAAATAATTTTTTCCTAATAATTAAAGGAGCAAAATCCTCTTCTCCCACCCCTTTGCAAGCCACTGCCTGTGTATGTCAAGAGCAGGGAAGGGAAACCTAAGAACTGGCATGTTAATCCATCCATATTTCTCTAAGTCCATATAAAAATAATCAAAATATTCCTCACATCACACTGCAGGGGCAGAGGGAAGTGAACAGCTGCCCATGGTCAGTTAAATTGCACAGGGGTGAAAGAAAAAAAGTAAAGCACCCTTTCCACAAGGAATCTGTTCCTCTCACCTCCTTCCTTGCAACAAACACCCAAAAAATAAATTTTTTACTGTTGACCTTTTTTTTTGTCCTCCTCCAAGTTTCTGGAGGCGCTAACAGGTGTCAAGCCTCATGCAAGTCCAGCTGCAGTAGCCCTGTTGGATTAAGTTTTTAGGTTTTTTTTTTTATTTAGAGATGGGGTAACTGAGAGCTGTTTTAAAAACTTTTATTTGGTTTTTTTAGTTTTATGTGAAGGGTGAGATAATGCAGATGTTATAATTTATTTTATAACTATTAGAAGCTAATTATTTCTTAATTATAATGCATTATAATTGTATTCTATCAAATTTTAAACATTTTCTACAAATCCATTTTTCACATAGCACAGCCCTGGTACCAAGCTCTAGTAAAGTTCTAGTAAAGCAGCAGCACATTACAGAAACATTCAGCACTACTCTTCATTTGTTAAGTTTATTTACGTTTCCATGTTCTACAGTTCTTAAGTGATTAATTTATAAACTAATAATTTAGTTTTGATTTAAAGCTTTCTGCTTTTCCCAGGCAGCCTGGGGGATTTTCTTGCCCAGCAGTGGAATTGCCCTTAGCTGCTTTATAAGGTTCTGAAAACTGACTGTGCCTAGAGATCACATCTCACAATAGTTAAAAATAACATTAATACCTTACCTTTAGGAAGAAAAATGTACATTTACCTAAGCTTTCCCATGTTAAATACAGGTAACACCTTAGGGATTACTGCCTTTAGGATCTGCTGGTCTAACAGCTAAAACAGAACCTTGAGTGCCAATTCTGCCCCTGTTTAAGACAAAATTCCCAGAGATTTTAACTAGTGCAGCCCTAAATACTCGGGATGTACTGAAGATGAGTTAGAAATGGCACCTTTTGCAGAACAAGGGATTGTTTCCTGTCAAATCCCATGACATTTCTGTCGAGTCCTTAGGAAGGAAATCTAAATCTGGCATCAGTTATCTGAGGGTTCACAGCCAAGCCCTCATTTCATGGTGGCCAGTGTGGGAGGAACTGGAAACTAGGATGGGAACAGCCTGGTTTATGGGGAGCATAATGTAATCTATATTATCAGAGGGATGAAGGGAATTAAAACCAAACACATTGAGTGCATTCAGTTCCTGACCTCCATTTAAAAGCAAGAGAATTGATGTTTGCTTCTCTGCACTCTGACTCATTGCTCTTTATCAAGTTTATAATCAAAGCATGTGGGGGGAAAGAATTGATAACTCTAAATAAAATTTTTAAAAATCTGTTCTTCTTTCCAGGGTTTTTATATTCCCTTTTCCTTTCCATGCTGCATTCCCTTCCCTGGTCTGCAAAGGAAGCAGACATTGGTTCCCACTGATAGATAGGCAGGGAGCTCCAAAGGTCAAGTCCCTTTGATGTATGATCACGTCAGCCCTCTAAAAAATGACCACAGATCTTCATGTGTAAATATGTTGAATTTGCTTTTCTAATGCTGCACGACTTAGATAAATTAGAAGACTCAACCATCCATTACTCCAAGTCCATCCCAAAGGAGACTCGACTTTTGTTGCAATAAATATAAATTCTCTTATAATTAGGGCTTTTTTAAAAAAATGTCTGTGTTACTTTCAGACAAAGACTGCTTTGCACAAAGAGCTGATCTATCTGAAGTCCTGTGTAAAAGATTCCTGGGAAAATTCAATTCTGTTGGCCTAAAAAATAGGAAAATAAGTGTCAAACCCACAAATTGTCCAGTCTTTTGCTTAACTCAGTGTTATTTTCCTTACTCTCTACTTGCTTCACAAAAAATTTATGTATCTTTTCTGGAATTTGATTCTATTTCATCTTTTGCTTGATGATGGAGAACAAGCCTATGGTAGAGAGATTTTTCTTGGCTCAAAAGTAAAGCCTCAATATTATTATTATTATTTATTAAAGCCTAATTGCAGAAACAGCATGATCCCCTCAGCACACATTCTCCAAAGCCCCGATAAATCACAATTTGCAGTCCCAGTTTAATTTGTGAAGAGAAGCAAGCCTCCTAAAAGCACATATATCTTGATAACTGTATCCTGAGCTGCTTCCTGATCTTCCTCACATTACTGCCACAGGGCTGTTTACTGCCAGCTCTGACACGACCACCAGAACCACTGCTCCAGGCACAGGGTTGTGTTTAAACCACACTGATGTGGCAAGAAAACACATTGAGCTGTCTGAAAACACAGACATGCTGTCTGAGCAAACCTGCCTTTCCTTGCTCTGTTTTACCATCCCAGCTCAATTTCACTCACCAAGTTTTTAAACTGCTCTGTTCTTCTGGCATTTATAGATTCCCTGTCACTAAAAGCCCTGTTCAGAGGTTATGATTGTTGAATTTTGCTGCAGAGCTCAGTGCAGCTGGCTGTGTGACCTGGCTTTTGGCAGCTGCTGTGTCTCAGGGTAGTGCAGAACAGCCCGAGCCTGGTCCTGGATCCCCTCTCAGCACTCTCCTGCAGGAAGTTATACTTTAATCTCAGAGCACAGGCTACTGGAAAGAGGAAAGGCTGGGTTTAACTTAAAACATTAGGATAAACAGTTTGCCATCAGACTGATTTATGAGAGGGTAGGAGGGTGTTGGGGACTGGAGGAAGAGCTGGCTTAAAGCAATTAAGTGGGAAGAATGCAAAACCAGCATGAGCCCAGGTGGCCAAGGGCACCTGGGCTAATGTGGCCAGCAGGAGCAGGGAGGGGAAGCCTCGCTGTGCTGGGCACTGGTGAGGCTGCAACAAGTGCTGTGTCCAGTTCTACCGTCTTCTTCTCCAAATATTCTGGAAGCCAGACCAAAAAATTCCAGTCAACACTTTGGTAAGTCCCCTGCTGATCTAGATGAGTTAAAGTTTGCCACGTACCTTACTTTGTCAGGATGTTCCAACATTGGCAAGTAAAAGTTGTTATTAGACCTCCTGAGAATTTTGTTGTTTCTGCACTACCCAGAGTAAATGAAACTACCTTCCCTAAACCTGCTGAGCAGGAATTATAGGAGTCCAGGAAAAAGCAATACAGCAAGACAAGTCCCTCTCTCCACCTGCAGTGGAGATACATTTCCCCCAGGCCTCTTCTCCGTGGGCAGGGCTGACTCAGAACAGCCCCTCTTTACATTTTCACCAGAAGAACTGTAATCCCAGCAGCACATCCATAAAGCCATCCCTTCAGAAAAGCTTAAGGAATTCTCATTTTTGTGGGACAAAGCTTCATGGTTCTTTCGGTCTTTTTTTCTCATAGATACAGTTCAGCAGGATGCATGAGTCGTGTGGAGCCACTATGGTTCCCACCAGAGCATCAGTTTTCCTCACCACACCAGATCCAGCTTCTCTTAAAGGTCCACAGAAAAACACATCTCCCAGAATATCAGACTTCCAAGACATTGCAGGACAAGGCAAACCCCAGTTCAGGGTCTCACAGCTGTGAATTTACGCTTACACAGCTCTATCCTGAAATTCCAGTCCTTCCCAAAGAGTTAGTTGTGCAACACCTGCTGCTCTGTGATTCTCTTACATGGTATTTCCAATATCTTTCTCTCACAGCTGTGAATTTACACTCACACAGCTCTAACCTGAAATTGCAGCCCTTCCTAAAGAGTTAGTACTGCAACACCTGCTGCTCTGTTATTCTCTTACATGGTATTTCCAGCATCCTTCCTTCCTCCATATCCAAGGCCAGTCTGGATGGGGCTTGGAGCACCCTGGGCTAGTGGAAGGTGTCCCTGCTCTGGCAGGGGATGAAACAAGATGAGCTTTAAGATCCCTTTCAACCCAAACCATTCCATGATCCTTTTCACATGAAAGGAGCTGTGTGGTGTTAAATAAAATGCTGTTCTCTCCTTCTTACCTCTTTTAAACATACCCAAATTTAGGCATGTCGTCTTGGTTGATGCTTTATTTTTATCTGAGAAAACAGTCTGCCAAACATTCCTCCTTTTCTGAATTCCTGATAAATATAATTCATTTCATCCAGTCAGAAAAAAAAATCAGAATTTCCCAGAATAGCTTTCTGTGTAAACATTATAGACTATGGCTAAATAAATATCACACAGGATTTAACAAACTACAAACTCCATCAAATGAAATTTAAAATACTTCATCAGCTCTTGAGATTGGGCAGCTACAGCAGTGGTGTAAATCAGGCCTAGTTTTGCCAAGTTTAAGATTAAAATGACTTTTGCTT